AAGCAGCGTCATGTTCAAGTGGATTTTGCAACTCAAAAAAAACCACGCAAATTTAAAACTTCTTGAATTCAAGCATTTTTTGAGAAAACTGCCAATATTTCCTTATCGATAGTTTACTTTCTAAAAAGGCCATTTATTTCTGTCTAGAATGATGTACAAATGAGCGTTCTTGCTCATTTTGCCTCCAAGATATAAGCAAAAATGGGACGGAAAACATGTAATTTTGGCATAACCTTGCATCTAAGTGTCTGATATTCAAATTTCGCTTTCTGGGTCAAAACTACTCGAACTTCCTCACTCGCGTTGTTAGGACTGAATCGAGTTTTGAATTCTCCATCCAACGATGCCAAAAAGAATTCTGTGGCTCGAATGGTTCTTGAGAAACTTCGAAAAATGCAGCGTCATGTTCAAGTGCATTTTGCAACTCAAAAAAAACCACGCAAATCTAAAACTTCTTGAATTCAAGCATTTTTTGAGAAAACTGCAACATTTCCTTATCGATGTTCACTTTCTAAAAAGGTCATTTATTTCTCTCTAGAATGATGTACAAATGAGCGTTCTTACGGGACGGAAATCATGAAATTTTGCAATAATCTTGCGCCGCCCTTGCACAAAAGGACGATCATTTTTTTAATTTTATAAACAACAGAAGTCTGTATTTTTCCTACATAACCCCCCCCCCCCTTCTGACTTTAATGCTGGATCCGCCCCTGGCCACAATGATTCAAAAGTTCCCATCTAAGGCCGCAATTTACACGTCATAAAGAACACGCGACGCTTTGTTGTTGGATTGCTAAACATTAATTTTTGTGAAAAATATTGAAAAAAATTGTTCGTTTTGTCGTTTTTGTATTTTCTGTTAACTTGTTTTAACATTTTTCAGCTAACACAAGCCAATTTAATTTCTCTCGATGAACTTTTGTTACAAATAACACTGCAGCGACCTGCCGATGCCCAATTGACAATGTCATAGTATGTTTGTCGGCGTCACTGTTCTGTTGCTGAGCTGGGCCAGCTGCGCCCTCAGCGCCCAGTACCAGGAGCGCTACCTGGACGTGCCGGTCGACCACTTCAGCTTCAGCAGAACCAACGAAACCTTCAAGCTGCGCTTCTTGGTAGTGGAACAGTTCTACGTCAAAGGCAGCCCCATTTTCTTCTACTGCGGCAACGAGGCCGACATCACCACATTCTTCGATAACACCGGGTTTCTTCTGGAAATTGCGCCCATCTTCAACGCCCTGGTGGTTTTCGCCGAGCACCGTTACTACGGCCTGTCCATGCCCTTAGGAGCGCGCTCTCTGAGTCCTTCTGAGGGGCTGCGCCTGCTCACCACCTCCCAAGCGCTGGCGGACTTTGTGCGTCTGATCGACCACCTGGGGGGGCAGTACTTCGGCACCATGCTGACCAATGACACTTTTCCAGTGGTGGCGTTTGGCGGTTCGTATGGCGGCATGTTGGCGGCGTGGTTGCGCATGAAGTATCCCCATGTGGTGCTGGGCGCAGTGGCCTCCTCAGCCCCATTGCTGCAGATGAACAACCTGGAGCTGTGCCAGGCGTTCTACCGCTCCGTCACTGAGTCGTTTGCGGCCAATGGCAACTGCAGCTATCCGGTGAAGTTGTCGTGGGCGGCCATTCGAAACCTGTCGGAAACTGTGCAGGGACGACGCAGTGTTTCGCAGGTGTTCAAGTTGTGCAAGCCGCTGGAGTCTAGTGAAGATGCCGGCAAGTTAATCGACACCCTGGTGGATATTTACGTGAATCTGGCAATGTTGAACTATCCCTATCCGACTCACTTTCTGGCGCCGCTGCCCGCCAATCCAGTGAAATCCTTCTGCGACAAGCTGCGCAGCTTTGGGGTGGTGGAGACCGCCGTGGAGCTGCTCCAGGCGGTGTCCAGTGCGCTGGAAATCGCCACCAATTTCTCGGGAAACACTCAGTGCAACAACATCGAAACCACAGTGGAACAGCCCGTTGACTACGCCTGGGACTTCCAGGCCTGCTTCGAGCTGGTGATGCCCATCTGCAGCTCGGCGCTGGACATGTTCGAGCCGACCCAGTGGAACTACTCGAAATACGCCCAGGACTGCAGCAGGAAGTACCAAGTGACGCCCTACTCCTCCAACGGGGTTCTACTGGAGCATGGCGGGCGCATTCTCAAGTACGCCTCCAACATTGTCTTCAGCAATGGGCTTTCAGATCCCTGGTGCAGTGGCGGGGTGCTGAAGAACGTCTCAGATTCGGTGGTGGCGGTGCTGATTCCCCAGGCCGCCCACCATTACGACCTGCGCGCCGCCCATCCGGTGGACTCGCACTATGTGCTGGAAGCCCGCAAGTTCCACGTGGGGCAGATCAAAAAGTGGCTGAATATTCCGTAGATGGTTGGGGGCGTTTCGCGCCCCCAGTTGCCATAGACAACAAATGACTGTTTCCGGGGGGTGATTAAGCGGCCGCCGCTCTACAGTGCCAAATCAGTCCGCCAAATTAAATCCGGCCTCAGATTATTACATACCTCAGTGACGGTTCATAAATATCCGGACCCCTGGCGGGTCGTTAAGGGCCGCCACCGTCATCGCGAGATATTGCCGATACTCCACGGGAATGATCGGGATAATTAACGGGACTCGTTCGCTCCAGGCCGGAATACATCTGATGTAATATCAAGTGCATGGATAGGAGGGGCGGTTTTTGACAGCAAATGACTTGGAGAGGTGTCAAAATTTGGCTACAAATAAATCATATCTGTCAAAAAAATATAATGTTTCATTCTAGGAAATTGTGGGCCTAATTCGAAAAATCGCCAATGACTTGCTTGTTATT